CTCTCCCACTCTCCCACTCTCCCCACTCTCCCACTCTCCCACTCTCCCCACTCTCCCACTCTCTCCCACTCTCCCACTCTCCCACTCTCCCACTCTCCCACTCTCCCACTCTCCCACTCTCCCACTCTCCCACTCTCCCACTCTCCCACTCTCCCACTCTCTCACTCTCTCACTCCCTTCCTTTTTACTCTCTTCTACTCCCACCCTCTTTCCTTGTGGCACACATCTTTTGACCCTTTTCTCTAACAGGCCTTACCATATCCATCTTGCTTTGTGTTTCTCCTCCACCATTTACATCGATGTTTTGTTCATGTGTTAGCAGTTGAGTAAATGGGACAAAGCTCCTTGCCAGGCTAGATGTGCCACCAGACTGTCTCCAGTATCAACAGTTGGTTACTGACAGAAATAAGATTGCTAACTACATTGGCCTTCTGCCACTTATGTCTGATGCTGCTTGAAGCTGCTGGTATCAGTAAGATGAGCTGGAGATAGTTGAATTTGGTTATGTTTGCTGATGGGACTTAAGGTTCGGGCGATGGCCAGCCTGCTTCGTACATGCCAGTGCTGTTGCCAAAACATGCCGATGAATCAGTCACGAGAGCATCTTCCTGGCAGCTGATGTAAAATAATGATCAAATCGCGCACATTTGTGCCCTTGTTTACGCCTAGTCCGGGGTGTCGCACATATTCGGCAAACAGTGGTCTCGGAGGTGATTACGTCACGCGCACGCTAAAACATTGCCTGAGACAATGGCATAAAATATTCAAGTGCTTAGGGTTTTCGTGCGCGCTGACCTCAAACGGTGCTATCGCCCAAGCACAAAGGTCACGGAAGGAGACGTAGGCAGAGCAGCTGCTGTGAGCTAGGAGCGGTGATCCCGTCACGCCGTCGGGCTCCGACTTAGCAGGACTACGCGATCTCACCGGGGGATCGGCCATCCACTTTGCTTGCCCGTCGTTCGTGGTCTCTGAACGTGCTATTGGAGATCAAGGTCGTTTACCGTCAAACCCGCAAGCATCCGCGCGATTAGTTCACCATGAAGCAAGATGACATTAACTCAGTGATGGTATTGAGAGAGTTCAGGGTCAAGTTGATAATGACTTATTAGATGACTTAAAAGCTACCTCGCGCAGTTGCATAATGAAAACATTTGACTGGAGTTAACTCCTTTTTGCGCACGTTTCGAAAAGTCACGTGGCCTTAAAGCTTTGTGTGACCCTGTTCGATCCGACGTTACCGGTCATGTACGACGGAAAACCAGCAATGATTTTGATGCGGTGCGGGGTGACTGGGTTTGAAAGCAACGTTCTAGTTTTGTATTTGCTCCAGCTTATCAGGCGTCGAAGCGGCAGTGCAGGTGGGTGGGAGGGGGAGCAGCGTCAGCACGGCGGAGTATGGCGGGGTTGCCGTTCCGGCCGGGCCTGACCGGTGTCTGCGCCGCACCCGCAGGGGAGCGCGAGTCGAGCCGGCAGCGCGCCCAGGAGAAGGTCATCGAGCTCAGCAAGAACACGCTGACCGTCGACGACCAGCCGGCGGTGAGTGGGCGCGCCCCCGCCGGACCGCGCCCCGTCCCGTGAAGACCCCCCCCCCCCCCCCCCACCGGAAGTCCCGCGCTTGATTGGATCTAGTTAACGATAGAGATAGAGAGCCAGAAATCACGCCGCTGACGCGTGACCGCGCTGGTAAACGGCTCACCTGCTGCCTCGACGCTGCTCGGCGCTCGCTTGTCGGTTTCCGCCGTGTCGTTCGAGCTCGTGCATGACGCTTGCCGGGCATGGCTGGTAGCGAGCTCCGCATTCAGTCACTGAGCCTTGACGTAATAAAGCATGTGTCGTCTTTTCGTAGCGTAGTCTTGAGAAGTCGTTATAGTCTTTTTTGTGTTGGTTTTTGTTTGCGTTATCTTCGTATTATGTGTGGAATGCCTTACTTTCTGTCATGATTGTTATTTATTACCCAGTGTTTCGTTGACTGGGCGCACGTCTTCTCCGTTACAGCGCACACACGGTGATCCGTAGTTGGACATCCCGCTGTCGGACATCTGGCAGATATTCTTTTAGAATTTGAGGCATTCCACCATAATTCTACATACAGTTTAGAATAAATAGTTGAACGTCGCATAGTCCGCAGATGTGTGCTCTCAGTGGTCACGGAGCTGTAGCCTCGCACTTTTGGGCATGGTCACATGTAAGGTTATAACGGGCTAGACATTCTTGAAACGCATCAACCTGATGCAGGTCTAAAAAGTGATGACGATTGACAAAGGATGAACTTCATTTGATTGCTTGAGATTGCATGGTGTACTCTTATCACATTATCATTGGGTTAATCTAAGCGGTCGCTGTTTTAACCTAGCTGATAATGGCGTCGCTAATTTAAGGCAACCATGCATACAATCTCGCCCAAAATATGCTACATTTCCGTGTTTGGTACACGAGTTTGTCGTGAAACCCCCACATAGCAATGTGATGGGCACACTGATTTAACCCTTGGTTCCGGCAGAACCTCGAGGGCATGGAGGTGGAGGAGGACAAGAAGGACTTGATCTCGCGCGAGATCGGCAAATTCCGTGACCAGATGAAGGTAGGTGTGAGGCCGGCGTGGTCCGGTGCCCGTGTGTCGCGCGCCGTCGGTGTGGGAGTGCGGCCGGCCGTCCGCCGGGCCGCCTCGCTCTGGTTCTGCCTCTCTGTCTGTGGCGCTCGGTGTGTCGGTGCGGCGTGCCGCCCCAGTGGCGGGACCGCCTGCGCGGTGCTCTCCGGCGCTGCGCCACTGTTCCGGTGTCGCCTGCCCATGCCACTGTGCGGGGCGCGGGCCGCGGCGGTCCGTGACGGGCCGTGACGGTCCGGGACGGCCCGTGACGGTCCGTGACGGCCCGTGACGGTCCGTGACGGCCCGTGACGGTCCGGCCCGGCCCGCGCCCGGTATCGACTGCGTGACGCGAGTTTGGCAATTCTCGGACCTAGGCTCCGATTGGGTGTGCCGTGTGAGAGGCCGTGAGAGGCGCGTCCGGCATCGGTGAGTAGACTCCCGGCGGGCGGCGGTAGCCGGTGTCGGCGCCGCCGCTCTAGGGCCGGGCACCGCACGCGCCGCGCTCCGCCGCTCCCCGGCCGCCGCCCCGGGACCGGGCATTGGGCACGGAGCTACCTCAGGGACCCGCACCGCAGGGCCGCCTCTCGTTCGGGCTCGGGGTCAGCCCTCCACCGCCGCTCATTTTGCCGGTGTTGTTCTGTGGTTCTGTTTCACCCTGTTTGGCGCCACAGTTCATGAGCTGCCCTTGACATGAGCCAACCGTTACGGCTAATCGGCAGATGCCATTGTAAGCGATTTGTGGTGAGAAAGTCTGCGCAAAGGCACAAGATTTCTTCGTAGAACATGTTGAGAAGTTTAGACGGGCACCAGGTAAGAAAGTGCGATACGAACGCCACGCGTGTAGCTGGTACATTCCGCACGACTTGTTTTTCATGAGCTGTCAGGGTACCGTCCTGTATTCCAGTCATTCTATTGCGGGAACAAGGCTTTGCGCGCTGTCTCCTAAAACTCCGACGAAAATTGGCTTCCTAAATGCAAATTTTTGTTTTGCTTTTCGTCTCTGTTTCAGCCATCGGCCGCCATTGCCTGTGGTCCCCCAGTGCAGCGCCCCGAAGTTGGTAGTGTGCATTGCAACATGCTCTAGCCCTTCTCTGTTGAATGCTCCTATTGGTGTCGATGCTGGTGCGCTGGGTGGGCGGCTGTGTCTCTGCGGGCACTGGCGACGTGTCGCGTGCGCGTGGCCCCAGCCGCGGCCTGATGGGCGGGTCGGCTCCTGCCGTCTGGTCCGGGCCCCCGGCCGGCCAGGCCCACCGGTGTGCGGCGGCCACGTGACATGAACCCGTCTCAGCTTTCAGCCGTGTCCCTCCCCTGTCCGTATGCCTTTTGTGATGCACCTAGGGTGTTCAACGCGTCGCCGAATCATCGCCGGTTATTGGCAGCAATCAGGTAAACAAACATGGCCCTCATCAGCTGACATCGCGCACCAAACCCGAGCGCTGGCCGGCCCAGAGGCCTCCGCTGCCCCGTCATACTGCACTAAGCCGGTTAAGACACGCCATAAAAGCCGAGCTCAGATTTGTACGGTGGACAAAGACTGACGTAAGCTAAAGTAAATGCTCTAGTTGGGGAATTGGTTCAGGGGCATTTGCTGCCCCTCCCAAAAATGTTTGTAGCCTCATATGAAAAGTTAAGTGTGACTTCTCCGTTCTTACAACTATTCAATCCACTGTGCAGATGTTTAGGTGGTAGGTTTTGCTGGGCTGTGTTTGTTTTGGAGAGCTGTGCGCCACAGTGTTACCAGCAGTGCGGCACAGCTCTCAGGGCGGGGTGGCACGGCGCTGCGAACTTAAGCCCGTTCACCAAGTCTTCGGTATTAGTGTTCGAATTGGTTTGAACATCACCTCGAATTACGGCGTTCCCTTTTGAAAAAAGGAACTAGGGGTTTGGTATTTATTATGCGTCTAGCCTTTTTAGTGCGTGTGAGGGGAGGGGGGGGGGGGGGGCTAGTCTAAATAAGCAACACTGCTATTTACACAGGCTTAACCCATTGTTCGCACTTTTCACGTTCGTTGCCTTCATGTTGCTGGCCGGTGACAAAAACCTACACTATCTGTCACTGCTCATTCCTTGCTGTTTGTGGTGCATTTTGTTATTGCTTGTGTTGGATTATTTAAAACAAGTGAATCCTTTATTTCTACACACATTTTTAGGTAGCTAAGTTACACCACGCACCTGCTCAACTGTTATATTTGTTTCATTGTAGGATGCTTGTTTTCATAGTGTCCATATCCATTCCATGGCCTTAGTCATAGAGCGCCAAGTCGCGCCTGGCAGTTCCATGCTCAGTCAGCTGGTCTCGTTACTCAGTCGCCGTGCCACGGAGGCACAGTGCTGCCATGAGTGGGGTGTCGCGCGCCCGGCGTTTTGTCCGTGTGAGGGGGCGCTGCACGGCGCGGCTCGTCGCTCTTTGACTGGCGGCCGCGGCCTCCCCGCCACCGGTCGGGGCCGGCCCAGCGAGCGGCGGCCGTGGTGAGCGGGCGTACCTGGTGCCGGCCCCGAGACGCGCCGCCCGCCGTCCCGCCGCTCACCGCCGCCCACCTCTGACGCAGAGGCAGGAGGAGGAGAAGGAGCGCACGCGCCGCGAGCGGCCCGACCGCGACTCGACGCCCTCCTAGTCGGCGGCGGCGCGAGGTCCCGGCGCCGCAGGCGCAGCGCAGCCGGCCGGAGCGGTCGCCACCAGCGGCCGCGCGTCGCCGCTCGCGCAGCCGCAGTCCGGCCAGCGAGGCGACCTCGGCGGCCACCACACCCTCCTCGGGCCGGGCGCGCTCCAACCGGCCGCAGGAGCACAAGCGCCGCTCCAGGTGAGATGGACGGCCGCCAGCGCCGGCGGCCTCACCTCAGCGGCAGCGCCGCCCGGTCGAGAGCGTCGGCGCCGGTGTTACGCGAGGGACGGCGTCCTCTCCAGCGCAGGGCCGCCCGGTCGAGATGTGCCGCTCGGTGGCCGGTTTCACGCTGAGGGGGACTGGGCGTCCTCACCTCAGCGGCAGGCCGCCCGCGAGAGGTCGTTGCCACGCACGCTGAAGTTACTGCGTCCTCACCTCAGCGGCAGGGCCGCCCGGTCGAGAGTGTCGCCGCTCGGTGGGTGTTCACGCTGAGGGGGACTGGGCGTCCTCACCTCAGCGGCAGGGCCGCCCGGTCGGGAGTGTCGCCGCTGGATGCCGGTGTTCACGCTGAGGGGGACTGGGCAAGCCCAGCTGGCGCCGTACCGACCACAGCGCTATACAGCCACAGCCACAGACACAGACCAATGCACGTCTGCTGTGCGGATATCGTTTGCGTGCGCGATTTTCGGTCGCTGCGGGGCCCATGGATTAGATGGTCAGATGCCATTAGATGCTATGCAGTCGTCCAACATTCATGTCAAGACGCTCATGTACGCTGTGTGGCTCATGTACGCATGTAGCCACGCACCGGTTACTGTGGCGCACTGCCGCCGCCGCCAGTGGTGGACAGTGGGCGTGACTCGAACAGGGACATCGTGACGCGGGGCGACGATGTGGCCAGGTCACGTGAGGAGGAGGCGACCCCGCGCAAGTCCGACCGCGACCTCAAGCGCGAGAAGGAGGAGGAGGAGGAGGCCAAGGAGCGCAAGAAGCTGGACCGCAAGGCGCGCGAGAAGGAGGCTGCCTACCAGGTGACCGCGGGACTTTGGTGGCGCGCGGCTGTGGTTGGCTCTGTCTCAAACACGCCAAATCAAAACAACCACACCTGTCATTGGGGTGTATTCTCTTGTGCATTCGTTTTGTTGCGTAGTGCCGTGGAGGGTCTTGCCGTGTCGAACTTGACCTTACCGCGTGGACGATTATTTCAGGAGCGGCTTCGCAACTGGGAGACCCGGGAGCAAAAGCGTCAGCGCGACGTAAAGAAGGAAGCTGAACGCGAAAAACAGCGCGAGAACGAGGCGCAGAGGGAAGCCAAGAAGCTTAAAGAGTTTCTTGAAGATTATGATGATGAAAAGGACGATCCTAAATATTACAAGTAAGCCATTCAAATCTAGGCGGGACGTTACACACGGACAGCGATGTTTGTGATCCTGTACGGAGTTGAACGGGCAGGTGGAGGGACCCAGTGCCGGTGGTCCGATGAGAGGTGGCCCAGGCTGTAGTGCCCAGTCCCAGAGCGAGTGGTCCAGTGTTCTAATATTCGGCCATTTGTGTGGCAGGGATGTCGATATTTTGTAATGCTTTAGCGCCTCTGCTTCGGTCTCACTGCCTGTGGTCCCTCCCCTTGCTCAAAATCGGCCAATTAGCATGGAACCGGGCGGCTGTCAAACCGGTATCTATGAGCCTCGGGCCTGAGAAATGGGCTGAGTAGGTCAGATGTCTAGGTCGGGGTCAAAGGGCAACGGTTTAGCGCCGACGAATTGCGCGCGGGGATCGCCGAAGAGCCAGGGCTCTGGTAGCGTGAATGTATATTTACACCCTGCACACCCTACGGGATGAATTTTGGAATGCTGCAGCGCTCCGATGGGAGATGGCCGTGGCTGACGGGCCCGGCGTTTTGCAGGGGTCGTGAGCTGCAGCGCCGTCTGGCGGCGCGCGAGCGCGAGGCCGAGGAGGACGCGCGTGACAGCCAACGAGAGAAGGAGGAGCTGGACGAGCTGCGCACGCGCATCCAGGCGGAGGGCCATAATGACCCGAGCGCCGAGTATGAACGGGTGAGTGGTACGGGCTCGCTCGCCGACCAAAGCTGCCTGCGCTGGGGGTCTCGGACCTTGGGATGGGGGGTTAAAACTTCGTAGCCATCATTTGGTAACAAGCAAAGGCTGCTGAAGATGGAATGCTATTACCATTGTATGTTCGTGAATTCTGAAGTCCTTGTCGCGTGTGGACGTTGTTTGATTTGTGTGCGGACATGTGATGTTGGACTCGCCCGCGGGTGCGGCCAGCGTTGCAGTTTGAGTTGACTGTGCGTGATCGCTGGTTATTTGGTTGGTGGGCTGGCTGGCTGGCTGGCTGGCTGGCTGGACAGACCGCCTCGCTTTTCCGGGTGGTTGGCTGTTGGCTGTGCCTGGTTGCCTGGCTGTCGTGTGGCCTGACCGCGCGCCGCCGCTGCAGCAACGCGCCGAGCGGGAGCAGCAGTACCGGCCGCGGCTGCGGGTGAAGCCGGAGCGCGCGCCGTCGCCGCCGGTGGTGGAGCTGGCGGCCAGCCCGCCGCCGCCGCCGGCGCCACCGTCGCCCGAGCGGGCGGTCTCCAGCGACGGCGGCCGTTCGCCGTCACCGCCGCCGCCGCCCGAGGACAGCCTGATGGCCGGCGCCACGCCCCTCTCCAGCCGGGCAGGTCGGTGGCGCGCCATTCAGGGGTGGGTCGGCTTTAGCGCCAGTCGGGCGGCACCTCGTTCGTCATATCGGCTAGCTGATCTGAGCAGGGGACTGCGGTCTCTAGGACCTGCCGGCGGGTCCGATCAGCGGCGCGGGCCGATGCCGGCCGGCTCGTGCGGTGCATGCGGCGCCAGCCGTGTGTGACGCCAGTCTGTGTGGCCGCAGAGTCGACCACGCGCTCTGTGGAGGTGACGCCACGCGGTCCGGCCACGCCTGTCACGCCGGCTGGCCCGCCGGACGCCGCCCGCGCCGCCACCACCGCAGCCACCGCCGCCACCGGCGCGGCTGGTGGCAAAAAGAAGAAGCTCGACGTCAAGGACGTGTTCAACCAGGACGACGATGACGGCCACCAGAAGAAGAAGCGGAAGCTGGTGCCGCTAGGTGAGGAGCAGGGATCCTTCGCCTGGCTCTGTGGACCCGACGCTTCTGCGTAAATGTTGGCATGTGCTTTCATAACGTGGCCATACAAATATCCTTAAATAGCTTTCTTCATGCGCATTTTTATGTCGAATTGATGAAGACAAAGTAATCAAGCGACTTTATCAAGCTTGTTGCGATGAAATTATTAAATACGGGTGCGACCAGATATGACCGCGAAAGGCCTCAGGAAGAAGACCGATAAATATGTGACTTGTTTGGACATAACAAGCACGCGACTGCGTTGATGGTGTGTCGCTGCCACTCAGTCAACAGGCGGTGACTGTGACGTATACGGGCGGACCTCTGGGGCAGCGCGCCTGTCTCAGGCAGTGTCTCAGGCAGTGATGTCGGCCTTCCGCTCCAGATCACGACGACGACACCAAAAAGAAGGAGGAGAAGAAGCGCGCCGTCAAGTCGCTGATCGAGAAGATCCCCACCGGCAAGGAGGAGCTGTTCAGCTACACCGTCGACTGGGACGCCGTCGATAACGTGAGTCATTCCGGCCGCACATACTGGCGTCAGGTCTGCCAGCACCGATGCACACATCACAGACCGCACTAGGGCCTGATGGCGCTCTGCCTCTGATCTCATTCGCCAGTGACGCGGACCTCTCTCTGTGCCGGGCCCTCTGACGTCGCCACGTCATTCCCGGCTCGGCAGCCGTCCTTAGGCTGCCTACGGCGGTTGTGTGCTGTATGTATATATGGGGCTGAACCCGATCGGCCGGTGACGCGACGTGATGTCGCTGTTTCAGACTCTGATGGAGCGCCGGATACGGCCGTGGATCAGTAAGAAGATCGCAGAGTATATCGGCGAGCCGGAGCCCACGCTCGTGGAGTTCATCTGCTCCAAGATCCTGGTGGGCAGCACGCCGCAGGCCATCTTGGACGATGTACAGATGGTGAGTCATGCCGCCGCCCGCCGCTCCGGCGTTACAGACGTGTGCCGAATACAATGCAGCCTTCCCGAGATCGCCTCATTGCCTCATCGTTCGCTGCTGGCGTGGAGCTGACGAACTTAGTTCCACGTGGGGTATGAGAAAAATAAAATACGGGTGTGCCTGGCTCCTGTGCACATCTTGCTCCCCAGACGTATGAGATTGATCAGACCTTCCCGGCCATTGTTTTGAGTACTCTTCTTCTAGGAAGCACGGTCGATCCTCGCACATGTGACGTCAGCGTGATAAGCTAGCCGTCTCCGTCGCCCGTAGTCCCGACTCTCAGATTACCGTAATTGAGCGCTGTTTGCCTGCCGGGCGCGGCCGGTCTCGTTCGTCGGTGCTCTGAGCGCCGGCCGTGACTGATAGCTCGGCTGGTCGCCACCGCTGGACCAGCCGGCTGCCGCGCTCCGCCCGCCACGGCACGGGAGCCGGCGACGGACGTCCCCGACGGGCCGGCGCCGGCGCGGGTCCGACGTCTGACGCTGCCGCCCCCTCCCGCCCCGCCCGGCAGGTACTGGACGAGGAGGCCGACGTGTTCGTGGTGAAAATGTGGCGCTTGCTTATCTACGAGATCCAGGCCAAGAAGAACGGTCTGGTCAAATGACCGGCCTCGACGGACGCCGAGCTCTGTGATAAGCGGGTGGCCGCCCCAGTCCGCCGCTCCGCTCTGTCCCTTCCTCACCTCCCCGTCAATCGCTTTGTGCTCTTTTCTGGTGCTCTCTGTGCTTTCTGACTTCTCTTTATTGCTCCCAAGTGATTGATTTGGTTTCACTATAGTTCTGTCGGTTCCCTCCCTGGGTCACGTGCTCTCTGATATTCATACCCCTGTTTTGGCTCCGTTTTGCCCCGCGTGACGGTGTTCTGCCGGCGAGTGATGGGCGGTCTGAGCGTGCCGCCTGCCGCGCCACGCGCACCGGAGCGCCGCCAACACCGACGGGGCGGCACCAGTCCCGCCCCCGCCCCCCTCCGGGACCTCAAGCGCCAACAGTCCGTCTGCGGTGTCTAGAAACGAGGCGTTCCATATATTCACGTGTAAGTATCATTGCGTGTAAATAAAGATGTTCATGTGGAGCGTGCGTGTGTGTGCGTGGCGCGGGGTGAGGCTGAGACTGTGTCTGATCGGGTTCTTGCAGACAGTGCCCAGCTGACGGCCGGTAGTCCCATTTGTATTGTCTGCCCGCGCTCGCTGTGCGCGCCGCCACCAATGATGATCAAGTCACAGCTGCCTGCTCGCTTGTTATGTCGGTGTTTGGGTGGGTGTCGGCTGGATCTCGCTGGTAGCTGGTGAACGCGCCAGTTGATTTCCATCGATCGCGTGCGGCTACCGGGAGTTTGCGTGCTAAATACACCTTGAATGGCATTGCCCTGTATTCTGGACTATTCTGGGAGAGGCGTCATGACGCGGTGAGCCGGATCCTGTCCAAACGCATTCGAACTTCGCGCCAATCAAGCCTAGTTTCCTTGCCTGCTGTATTGCGTAGGTAACTCAGCATGTGGGCGTCAAAGAGAGAACAGCTCTCATTGTGGCAGGACGGCCTTGACGGGGCTGGCTGCGACCCAGCGCGGGCGTTACCAGACAAGTCCTTATCTGCGGGAAGCTTGCACCGTGTGGCCCAGCGGACGGCGGGCGGGCGACAACGCGGGGGAAGGGCGGGGCCCGCTGCTCACCGACGGCGGACGGATGACGCAGCGCGCTGGGGGGGGGGGGGGGGGGCTCTGCTGACCGGCGGCGGGCGGCGCTGCTCTGGTGTACACGAGGGGTGGCTGTACCGGCTCGGTGTCGTGTTCGTCCAGGCAGCAGACTCGCTGCCGGAGTGGGCCCGCCACGCCTTATCACAACTACCCGACCTCCGCATCCCCCGTACCCGACCACATGGCCTCCGCATACCTTGTACACAACTAAACGGACTGGGCATCCCCCGTACCCAACTACACGGCCTCCGCATCCCTTGTATCCAATTACACGGCCTCTGCATCCCTAGTACCCAACTACACGGCCTCCGCGTACCCCGTACACAACCGCCCGGCCTCCGCATCCCCATGCCCAACTACACGGCCTCCGCATCCCTTGTACCCAACTGCACGGCCTCCGCGTCCCCCGTACCCAACTGCACGGACTCCGCATCCCCGTACACAACCACCCGGCCTCCGCACCCCCCCCCCCCCCCCCCCCCCTATACCTAACTACACTGCCTCCGCATCCCTTGTGCCGAACTGCACGGACTCCGCATCCCCCATACCCAACTACACGGCCTCCGCATCCATTGTACCCAACTACACGGACTCCGCATCCCCCGCACCCAACTACACGGACTCAACATTCCCCACACCCAACTGCACGGACTCCGCATCCCCCGTACCCAACTACACGGCCTCCGCATCTCCCGTACCCCACCGGCTGTTCGCTCCTTGGAATCCGCCAGCTTCTACCACTCCGTGCCTCTCTCCCCGCTTTGCACTCATAATCTGTCACCTCGCCGCTCCCTGGCTGCACAGTTCCTGACGCCGAGCGCGTGTACACGTCCGGTCCGGCACGAACGCCTGAGCGGTGGCGTCTCCTCCCAGGCTCAGACGTTCCCGGCTGTCCGCCGCGGTAGCACGGGCGAGCGCGCCCCGTGCCACCGGTGGATTACCGCCTCCCAGGCCCAGACGCTCCCGGCTGTCCGCCGCGGTACCACGAGCGAGCGTGCCCCGTGCCACCGGTGGATTACCGCCTCCCAGGCCCAGACGCTCCCGGCTGCCCTTCGCGGCAGCACGGGCGGGCGTGCCTCCTGCGAGCGGCGGATCACCACCGGACAGGCGAGGACGCCGGCTTCAGAACGCTCTTCCGACGCCGTTTACGTTCGCCATCCGGTCCCAACTGTCCCGCTCACTGGGCATGGGACGCACGTGAGTCGTGAATGAAAGCCTCGCAGACACTGATGAGGACTGGGTGGTAATTGGCTGATTGCTTTCGGGCGCTTTAGGTCTCTCTTTAAGGGCCAGTGGTGACGGGACTTGTAAAAGGGTGACGGAAGTGCGGCTTTTGCGTACGTTCTAACCGTGCGATGGCGTTAGGTTTTTTGTTTAGCTTTGCTTCACTTCGGGAAAGGTAATTCCCCAGCTCGGCACCACCTGCGGTGTTGCGCCACTCGTTATATGATTCCCCAACTCGGCACCACCTGTGGTGTTACGCCACTCGTTATATGATTCCCCAACTCGGCACCACCTGTGGTGTTACGCCACTCGTGACCCTTAGGATGCAATCGTGTGATCGGATGATTTCAGAGGGAATAGTCCTGACCATTCTAACCCGGAAATTATTGAGCTGTCATCCGCCACGTGATTGGCAATGTCGCCGGTTGCGCAAACTTGCTTACAGGATACAATGTTTTACTACTGCAAGGCTCTGTGGTACCCACGTCATCTGTACAGTTGTTTACTAGGCACCGAATGAAAAATGGTGCTCATGTACTTCAGAATCATATTACCATGGCAACGAAGGTCGCGGGCCAAGGGCAGACTTCTCGGATATTTTTTCGCTGTTTTCGGTTCACGCTTGGCATAGAAGTCATTAGCACACAACTGTGTTAATTACACCATACGATTACCAATGGGCGTAATAGTTCATGTCCGTTTAACGCCCGGACGCTGGCTTCACATGACATGTGATGGTGACAGGGTGTGACCTCGTATAGAGTGAGCACCTCTGACAGGTGGAAGGCAAACCAGTCTACAAATTACGTTTTATTTCTTATCAAGCAAGGAAAGAAACAGCGCCATTTTTGGCAACGCTCTTTGTTGCATTAATCACTCGGGTAGGGCAAAATTGGAATGCACCTCAAATAGGAATAATGCGAAGACCGCTTGTACTAGCGATGTATGAATGCAAAACGATGTAAAGTTCACTCTGCGCTCGTCTTTCGCCTTGTCGTGTTATTTGGGCAATACGTTGATCATTTTAAGCTTTGGTGGTTTCATAAGCTCGCTAGCAAAGGAACTTCCACCAGTTATCGATGCCCTGGTACACATCTCATGCGCTGGAGTCAAAAGAAGCTGGGAACAGCGATAGTGTTATATGCATTTTCCAAGACACAAAATTTCCATTATGGTTGGCCTGTCGGTCGAGTCAAACCATATCGATCTACGCTTTTGTCATAAGTATGTATATCTTTGCGTGGGTGAAAATAACCATCGACAGGGTTTGTGAGCTACTTTCTACACTTTTGGTGCACCAAGCAAATAATGTCGGTGATCAATATGACACCTGACGGCTCTTCAGTGGCACTACCCAGCGATATTATTTGACGTAACTTTTCCTGGGGTTTCAGTAATGCTTGTTGTTAAATATGTTATCAATAAAGATTGAACACACACTTAATAGAAGGAAACACGCAAATTTTGGCGGAGGGAATAACTCCTCACGCTCTTACCTTCATACGTTGGCATGAAGTAAATAGTCACTACGTGCTCTTACACCAGTTCTGAAAAAATTCTGCTATTCATGGAGAGATATGAACCCACTCCGGACTTTACCATGAATCCATTGGGATAAACTCACCTGATTTGACCGTGGAGTGAAAATCCACTTCGAAAATGATTATAAAAGAGGTACTCCTCGTTGTGAAATCAACAGCGGCCATCATAGAGGAGCCGGCACAGGGCCAAAAGCGGGGAAGGCTTACGCGGACAAGAACGCAGCTCATCCATCAAGAGACATGACTGAGCCCCGGAGTGATTACAGCATACTAAGGGCGAACATTATATAAAAAAAGAAATGGGTACAAATCATCCTGAAAATTCGAAGTTGTTTCCTCCCTCTTTGGGATCGAGGTCAGTCGCGCTGTTCAAAGTCAGCTCTGGTCACCAGGGGCGGGGTCATGTGAGGTAAGCTCGTGGCCGAAGCCAAATATGGCCAAAGCAAGATGATTGATAAATCACATTTGTTAATAAGGCTTTGCAGCTGACACATTTCAACTTAATGACTTCTTTTGGACCTGCGATTTAAAATGGCAAAACAAATATGTGCAGTAAGGCTACCTCAGCTTTGTCCGGCCTGATCATACCTTGACGATAGCTAAAATTGTAGCGCGATTCTGAAGCGCAGGAGTATGGCCGCATTTAGCTCCTATTTTTGCTGTTTTCGAAGCTATATGCAGATTAGTGTAGGTAATGGATAAAATCATCAAATCGAAAATTGCAATAATTGTAACGTATTTTGTGCGCAGTGACGCCTCTAACGGCGTGACAGTTGTAAGCTTGCTAACTCCTGTGTGAGGCTGGCAACGGTCACCAGGCACATCATGCCTGATAGGTACCATAGGCATTTGACACTATCATCTGGTCGCAATATCGCTAACGTGTGGGGGGGGGGGGGAAGGCGGACAGCAGTCTGTAGCGTGGCGGTAACGTCCGTACCTAAACGTGCCCTTCTTTGGTTTAGAAGAATCACAGTTGCGTGCTCAGGTACATGGCCCAAATTTTCTGCAAGAGAATGTTTTTTTCATTTTTCAATTTCAAGAAAATTTCAGCTGTTCTCCAAAATCCTGCGCATGTGGATGACATTTCTAGGATATGGTCTGGTATGTCTGGTATCTCTTGTTGAGGGTAGTATATATAAAGTGAGCGGGACAGTGAGCTGTGTGTATGCCCACCGCGCTCGGGGGGGGGGGGGGGGGGGGCATGGCTCTCTTGGCATACCCTCGAATACGCGCCTGTACGAGCGAAGTTTTCGCTCAGGAATGCACAGCTCTTACCAGCGGGTGAGCGAGCAAAGCGTGTAGTTAGGCTTGTTTTTGCACGCGCAGCTTATCACGATAAGCTGCGCTTCGCTCGGGATAGCTGAGTAGCTCGCTGAGAGGTGTTATTGTTTTTGCACGCGCAGCTTGTCACGATAAGCTGCGCTTTACTCGGGATAGCTGAGTAGCTCACTGAGAGGTGTTATTGCATAAATGTGATCAAAAGTAACAGACCGAACAGGACGAAACACGACCTTCGAATCATTGATGACTTCATGAACGGCAGCGAAACAGTGCTCGGCGAGTGGGACATATGACGAGTCTGTCTACGGCATGCAGGAAGAGTATGTGCATGACACCGAATCATTGGTCGGCAGGATCAATGCTACCTCACGTATTCTGCCTCTGTAGAAACATGGCAAGGATTACCGAGATTGCCGGACGACGGAAGTCGTGACCTCGGCAGCTCGCATAAAAACTCCCTCTCCTCAGTGCCACCCGGCCAAGTATCGTACGTCAATAGTTTATAAAAAACGGTTTGTGTCTCTCCCGATGGCTTGCGATCGATCCTCGCCGGGAGAGGGAGCAGTGTCCCTGACATTGAAAATGTCCTTGTCCAAGTCTCCAGGGGCGAGGGAGAGAGGGGCGAGTTGCGTCATGTTCATGTGGGGCCGGGCAATTTACTCTAAATATATGCGGCAAATGGCAGTCTCGAGTCACTCAACAGACGTACAGCGGCTTACTTTACCTTTCAGTGTACCTCCGGTAACGTGCGGGCACTCGTATTGGTGTCAGCGCGAATAGTGTGTTTTTTGCACATCGTTTAAAACTAAAGCAATCGGTGTAAATGTGCGTTTAAGGGCATACGGCACAGTGAGACAAATCTGAATGCTACACTAAGTATTAAGGAACTGTACGTGTCATAATACTTTAAAGCATTTGGCATCTGCTAGCCAAGGATTTCAGGGTAGCGCGAGCTTTCCTCCAAGAGATCGGATGATACATGTATCAGCTGCGCATGGGACAGGTTGTATCGATACAATGTACTGACAACATTTTATTGATTAACACGCGACCGGGTGGCCGCCTGGATATCCTTCACTCGGGGGGGGGTCAATTTGACCCCTCCGAGCTCTCAGGAACTAATAGAGCTAGAGACAGGTGTAGGTGTACTAACCCATACATGAACTCACTTAGGTCAAAGTTTGAGGTTCCTGGGTCATGACCTCGGGCTCAAATAAGATCAAATTTTAGGTTGGTCTTCAAAGGACCCCTAGAACCTAGACAACTGTTCAAAGCAACAGGTCACATGCTCAGTTAAGGTCAGTGACCTCTCTTGACCTTTTGAAGGTCATGGCGACCAGTCATACAAGACTGCTTGGGGTTTTGCATGTGAATGAGCGACAAAGATTACACTAGGCAAGTTTGTTTCTAAAAGCAAAGTGTTGACTTGGATCATTTAGGTCAGTGACCTGTTCTGACCTTAGAGAGATCCATGGAAGGTTTATAATGCGGCTCCTGTTATAAATAAATTTGAACTGAGCACCAGAAACTACTCCATACAGCAATCCCTAGAGTAATAAAACGGGCCGGTTGTGACCTTGGTCTTACCTTCATACCTGACCCTAAGTCAATGATTTGTTCATTCAATTGTTGCGTTGCCTGAGGAGGTATCTCAGAGGGGCATGGCTTCGTCTAACGCTCCGTTGTCGGACCAGATTGAACGATTCCCCAAAAATTGCCTTCGCTGAAACCATGGCCTGACTTTGACCTGTCATAGGTCGTCGACCTTACAAGGTATAGCTAATTTTTGATGCCAGACGATCCGCTATTCAATCGTCTACAAGTTACACAAAATGTAGCGCGGCTACGCTGCGCCGTTCGGAAACCATTCCGGAAAAACCTTCTGAGGAGGTCAATTTGCCCCCTCACCCGAGCGCGTGTTAACATGCACCCGAGTGGCTGGTTGGATACTCTTCGCTCGGATGGGGAACAATTTGACCCTCTGAAATCTCAGGAACTAAGAGAGGTAGAGACACCAAATTCACAGAGTGTATTGACCCGTATGTGAACTCCCTTAGGTCAAAGGTTGAGGTTCCTAGGTCGTGAACTTCGAGTGAAATAGGTTCAAACAGGGTCAAATTCCATGTCGTTCTTAACAGCGTCCCACAA